GTATACTGCCGTGTTAACTCAAAAGGGCGCATCTGCTTTAAACTAGTTTGCGAGAAAAATTAGGCAATCGTGATTTTTTAAAAAGTTGTGACTATACTGTACTATATAAACGTTAACAAATAGGTTCATACTATCATATGACAGATTTTGGTAGAGTATAAACTTTGGTAGACTAGAAAACAACACATTTGACAGATACGCCTTTTTCACTTAACATAAGGTATATAATTAAGAACGTAACTATATGATTTTTTGAAAATATTTATTGCATATTAAACAAATGAACGTTACAATATTAATGTTGTATTAATTTCGTTATTCTTAAGCCTTAAGCTGCTACGTGTTCTCGACTTTGTTGTATGGAATTGAAAGCTAGACACTAAAAGTGGATAATATAAGGAAGTTGTAATCATTTGAGATGTGGTGCTATAGAAGGATTTTGAAAATACCATGGACCCAACAAGTTACAAATGCAGAAGTGTTAAGAAGGCTACAAAAGGATTGCGAGGTCATAAAGCACATCAAAACAGGAAAGCTGGAATATTTAGGCCACATTACCATAGGTACGAAATATGAGATATTAAGGCTCATAATTATTGCTAAACAAAACAAACAGTTTCTGTGAAAAATATGGACTAAAAATGAATATAAAAAAAGACTAAATACATGATAATAATAAAGAAAAGAAATATACCAACAAATATATTATTTGGGAAATATACGGATAGAAAGGGTTGATAAATACAAATACCTAGGAACCTGGATTTCAGACAATAAGGATCAAACAACCGAAATAAGAGCAGGATAGAAATAGCAAGAAATGCGTTTATAAAAATGAAAACAATTCTCTGCAACAAAGATCTTAGATTAGAACTAAGAGTAAGAGCACTGAGATGCTACGTGTTTTTGATACTGCAATATGGACTTGAAAGCTGGACATTGAAGCAAGAATACATAAATAAGTTACAGTCCTTTGAAATCTGGTGTTACAGGTGGATGCTTAGAATAGCATGGACACAGAAGAAAACTAACACGGAAGTATTGTGAGAAATGATCAAAGGACGCGAAATAATAAACACAATAAAAATAAGAAAGTTACAATATCTGGGACACGTAATGAGGGGACAGCGATATGAAATGCTAAGGCTGATTAATCAGCCAATCGCGTTCACTGCTGGACATAGGCCTTCCTCAGTTCTTTCCAGTGTTCTTTACACTGGGCCACTTGTAGCCAGTTTCCCGCTACACGTTTTATATCATCGGTCCATCTAGTCGGTGGTCGTCCTCGGCTTCTTTAATAGTTTCTGGGCCATCGTCCATCTTGTGCTCTGGCTAAGTACCCTGCACAGTTCCACTTAAGCGACGTGGTTCTTTCGATGACGTCTTGAACTCCTGATCTTTGCCTAATTTGTTGGTTTGTTATGTGGTCTCGAAGGCTCACGTTCAGCATTGCACGTTCCATTGCTCGTTGTGTAACTCTGAGTTTATTCGCAGATTTTTGCGTGAGTGTTAAAGTCTCTTCTCCATAAGTTTGTACACGTAAAACACATTGATTATAAACTTTTCGCTTAAGATACATGGGACTTAAACTTTTTAGAATATGGCTTAATTTGCCAAATGCTGCCAAGTTAGGCCTATTCGCCTCTGTATTTCATGTGTTTGATTGTTTCTGCTTATTTTGATTTCGTGTCCCAGATATTTGTAAGTGTCTGTTTGTTGTATGGTATTATTGTCAATAGTTATATTTCCACTCATTACGAGATTTGTTATAAGTTTAGTTTTCTCAAAGTTTATCTTTAATCCTGCTCTTTCAGACAGACTTTTAAGCGAATGCATCATAGAAACTGTGTCTTGTAAATTATCTGCGATTAATACAACATCATCTGCAAATTTTAGGTGATTTAATCTTTCTCCATCTATATTGATGCCCATATCTTGCCATTGAGTGCTCTTAAATATTGACTCTAGAGCTGCCGTGAACAATTTTGGTGAAATATTGTCTCCTTGTCTAACTCCTCGACCTAAGCTGAATTTTTCTGTGTCTTCGTGTAGTCGTATACTTGATGTAACGTTCTCGTAGATGATTTTGATTAGTGTCGTGTACCTGTAATCTATTCGGCTTTGATTTAGGGCTTCCAGTATTGTTTCAAACTCTACAGAATCAAAAGCCTTCTCGTAATCGACAAATGCAAGAACCAGTGGTATGTTGTACTCGATGCACTTTTCTATTAAGATCTTTATGGTATGCAAATGGTCATTTGTGCCATATCCTGCCCTGAAGCCTGCCTGTTCTATGGGCTGATAGAAATCAAGTTTATGTGTTAGCCTCTTTGTTAAGATTTTCATAAAGAGTTTGTACATATGTGTCAAGAGGCTGATGGGTCTATAATTTTCTAATTTAGTAATATCGCCTTTTTTGTGTAACAAGACTATTACTGCATTGTTCCAGTCTTTTGGAATCGTACGCGCATGTAAGCATTTATTAAACAGTTCGCTTACTGATTTTAATAAAATTTCTTCTCCTGCTTTTATTGCCTCGATAACGAGTCCATCATCACCAGGCGATCGATAGTTCTTCATTTACTTTAAAGCTGCTCTTATTTCTGACACAGTAATGGGTAAAAGTATTTCCGATCCCTGATTTATGAGAGTCTTTACTCGTGTCGGGAAATTGTCTTGTGGTCTTTGGCTGGTATAGAGGTCTTTATAAAACTCTCTGGTTATTTTCAGAATGTTTTGTTTATCTGTTGTTGCCTTTCCGTCGTTATCTCTCAGCTTGTATATTTCTTTTTTACTTTGTGTGAGTTTTCTTTTCATTATCTTTAAACCTTTGTTCTCTTTTACTGTTTGAGTAATTACATTAGTATTATGTCTTCTTACATATTTTCTAATTTCCGCTGAAATTCTTTTATTTAGTTTTCTATATTCTTCTTTGTTTCCCTTTTCGTTCTCGCTTAGGTTTCGTCGTATTTCCATGAGAGCTTTTGTATTTTTGCTAATCTTTTCACTTTTGGTGTCATTTTTTTTGCAAAATTTGAGTTGTGCATTTCTAATCGAGTCTGTTATTAATTTATTGTGATCGTCGATACTTAGAGGTTTGAGATTATTACTCTGTAAAGTTTCGGCTATATTTTTTATGTATGCTTCTGGATGATTTGGTGAATTCCAAACTATGCGTTTGCAACTGTTTATCATCTTTGCTCTTTCTTTTTGTAGATTTATCGTTACTCTAGCTCTTACTGGTCTGTGGTCGCTTCCTACTGATAGTTTATTGAGTACAGTGACATCTTGAATAATTTGCTTTTTGTCTGTTATTATATAATCATATTCGCTCTTAGTTCTTCCGTCTGGACTAGCCCACGTCCATTTTCTATTCTGTTTCTTCTTAAAAAAGGTGTTCATTGCATACAGTTTGTGATGCAGTAGGAAGTTGGTAAGCATTTCGCCTCTTTCGTTTCTTACCCCGATTCCAAAATCTCCGATTGACACTTTTTGTTCGTCCTTTTTTCATTCCAAGTTTCCCTTTAATATCTCCCATTATCAGATTTTAATGAGCCGGTTCCTGCTTTTTTGCTCTTTCGATTTCCTCATAGAAGGCTTCGACAATTTCCTCTTCGTAATCGCTGGTGGGGGCGTATACCTGGAATATTTTCAGATTGTATCTCTTATTTAGTCTTAGATTTATATACATAACTCTTGGGGAAATACAGTCAATGCTCTGTATATTTTTCTGTAATTTTTTGTGTACTAATAAACCTATTCCTCCAGTTGTCGATTCCGTTTCCCCTTTATAGTGGAATATGTTTCCTGATTTTAGTTTGACCTGATCTTTACCTCTTCTTTTGACTTCGCTAATACCTATAATATCCCATTTCACATGTTTGAGTTCTTCCTCCAGTTCTCTCATTTTTTCATCCTTAGATAAGGTTCTTACATTATACGTAATTATGTGCAACGTTCGTCGTCGTTCTTGGTAGCCTCTTATATCCCGGAGATTCTTCGCACCCTCTACCCGCTGTCCATGAGTCCTACCGCTACCTTGGTCGGGAACTAGCGAGCTGCCTGGGACTGAGGGCCGTTTTCTTGAATGTCTGTTCATGCTGAGGGGGTTTTGGCATTTAAACACCACGCTTGCCAGGCGGGTTGGTGAGTTGGTTTGGGAAATTGGTAGGATAAGGCTGATAATACAGGGAAATATAAGAGGAGGAAGGAGTATAGGAAGAAGGAGAGTGTCATGGTTGAAGAATTTAAGGGACTGGTTTAAATGCAGTTGTACAGAACTCTTCAGAGCAGCAGTAGATAAAGTTAGGATAGTGATGATGAAATCTAACCTCCGATTTGCAGACGACACTTAAAGAAGAAGGCTCATAATGCAAGGTAAAATAAGGGTAAAAGATTCATAGGAAGACGAAGAATTTCCTGGCTAAGATGGTAGATCTTTTCAGAGCAGCCGCCAATAAGGTACGGATAGCTGTGATGATAGCCAACCTCCGATAGGAGAAGGAACCACAAGAAGGAGAAGAAGAAAAAAGATGATTGTTTTTATTCAATTTAGAAATTACTGGTTTCATAATTTCATTACTAGAGCAATAGAAGTGGACCACTAGCTGTCGAGTGTCTAGCGATAATCCGAAACAGTCGCGAATTCGTGAAATGTACTTTAGATAAGATAAAATTTAATCAGTCTTAGAAAACAGCAGTTGAAGATGATGAAAATAATTCATTTAATTACTAATGAATCAATAAAAAGTTGTTGAACTTATTGACAGCTTAAGGTAAACGCATAATGATTACGTATTGTTAAAATCGTTTTTAACGTAAATAACATAAAAACTCAATTAACTTGAATAAAAAAAGTATTTTGTGGTAAATAAATGAGAATATGCAGCGCGACAATTTATTATAGGGTCGAGGTAAAATTAAAAATAATGTCAGTTATTTTGGATATAAATCATTTGATGTCTTGTTACACAAAGTAGTCAATGTTTTTGCTTAGTAAACAGTTATTATTTTAATGAATTTGTGTTTAATAGTTGTACCGTGTGATAGTTGGGTAACGAGTGCCTACTAGGTGTAGGGGTGAGTAAAAAATATTTTAATTATTGACAATTTAAGAGTAAAAACTATGTACATCAATTAAACATTTTGGGGTAGTGCAAAAATCTTTTTGTTAGTAAGGAAAAAGAGGGATACTTGATCCCACCGTTACATTTTTTCAGATAAAATTTTTTACAACTGATCTAGAACCTTGATAATTTAGTATAACATTACAAATTTATCACAGTTTTGACCATTAAACATCTGAAAATATACTGCTAAAAGATAACGAGTTTTTGAGTTTTTGCAGAATCCAGTAATAGAAAGAAACTAATCGTGTTTCTCCGTACTTCTTGAGACTTGATCCTTGTATATGGATGACTTGATTATATCTTCTCAAATTTACGATATTAACCCTATATTTTTTTTATAGATCTTTTTCTATCCGAATTGTCGAATAAAGGCCTCTCCCATTTCTCGCCATTCATCCCTGTTGTATGCTAGGCGTTTCCACATTGGTCCTGCGACTCTTTTGATATCGTCGCTCCAGCCCATTTGAGATCTTCCTCTTGGTCTCTTCGCATCGTACGGTCGCCAGTTTCCGACTTCTTTGTTCCATCTACCATCTTCGAGACGTTCGTTGTGTCCAGCCCATTTCCATGTTAATTTAGCTGCTTGTTTTGCGGCGTCCTTTATTTTTGTTTTGTTACGGATTGCTTCGTTCGTTTGCCGATCTATTAGTGAGATACCAAGCATCTGTCGTTCCAGATGCTTGAGTTTTTCGAAGATTGTCCATGTTCTTTTTGTGAATGTCCAGGCTTGAGCTCCGTAAGTGAGAACGGGAAGTATACAAGAATCGAACACTTTGGTTCGAAGGTTTTGGGGTATCTTTTTGTCTTTCAGTATATATGAGAGTTTTCCAAATCCCATTCTTACTCGTCTGCTTATTTCGGTAGTTTGGTTTTCTTTGTTTACCTTGATATTCTGACCCAGATATATGTATTCTTCTACATGTTCCTCTTTTGTTCCTTGGATGGTTATCGTCGGTTGATCATCTTTATTCGACATTAGCTTAGTTTTACTCAGACTCATTTTCAGTCCTTTTTTTATGGATTCCGTATGAAGCTCATCGATCATCGTCTTCAGTTCTTTCCAGCTGTCGGCTATTAGTACTACGTCATCTGCATATCTTAGATGGTTTAAATACTTTCCGTTTATCGATAGTCCCTTCGTTTCCCAATTTAGTGATTTAAAGATGTCTTCAAGTGCGGCAGTAAATAGTTTTGGAGATAAGGTGTCTCCCTGTCTTACTCCTCGGTTGATTTTTATTGGCCTCGTTTTCATTCCGTTATCCATCGTGACTACCATTTCAGCGTGTGGGTATATATTATGTATTAATATTCTATATCTAGAATCTATTCTGCTGTTGACCAGTGCTTCCTCAATAGCCCATAATTCTATGCTGTCAAAAGCTTTCTCGTAGTCTATAAATGCTAAACAGATTGGTAAATTGTATTCGTATAATAACTTTTATAACTCGTATAATAAATAACTTTTTCTATTAGGACCTTTAGTGTGTGAAGATGGTCGCATGTACTGAACCCTTTTCTAAATCCGGCTTGCTCTACTGGTTGATATACATCGAACTTTGTTGTCAATCTATTTGTAATTATTTTTGTGAATGTTTTATAAAGTTGTGATAGTAGTGATATTGGACGATAATTTTTCAGATCTGTATTGTCCCCTTTTTTCTGTATTAATATTGTGTTAGCAGTATTCCATTACTTTAGTATGTTTCCTTCAAATAGGCATTTATTAAAAAATATTTTTAGGTACCTGATGACTTCTTCTCCGCCTTCTTTCAACATTTCTGCCAGAATTCCATCACTACCCGGTGCTTTATTTCTTTTCAATTCTTTAATTGCATTTTCGATTTCTACTTCGCTTATTTCGGGCATTACTTCAGAATTTACGTTTGTTGTTTTTCTTTTCAGATTTTGCTTTGAAGAGTCGGGGGGATCGTTTCTTGAGCGGTATAACTCAGTATAGAAATTTTCAACTATGTTTGATATCTAAGCTTTGCTTGTATCTAGTTGGCCTTGTTGATTTTTTATAGTTATAATATTTTTCTTTCCTAATCTCGGTTTGGTATATTTCAGACTTCGATTTTTCTTTATTACTCTTTCTACATGTTCTTGTTGATGTTTTTTAATATCGTCTTTTATCTGTTTTCGTATGGCTCGATTAAGTTCTTTGTATTCTGTGGTATTTCTTTTATTTAGTGACAGGAGCTCTTTTCGTTGTTTCAGCATATTCTTTGATTCTGCACTTATTATTAATTTTTTGTTGTTATGGCGGGTTGCTACTTCTGAGCTAGCATTCAATAGGTCTTTTGTTATAACTGAGTTAATTTTATTAACGCTGAGTTGTTCTAGATTCAGTCCTTGGGCGGTTTTTAATTTGCTAGCATATTTTTCTTTATCGACTTTTAGCTTTTCTGTGTCTATTTGTATCGTGTCATTAATGTTAATTCTACGTTTTCTATACTTAATCCTTAGTTTAGCTCTAACCATTCTGTGATCACTACCCAGAGAGACATTATTTATTACTGTTACATCTTCTACGATACCTTTCTTGTTACACATGATGTAATCGATTTCGTTCCTTGTTTTTCCGTCTAGTGATAACCACGTCCACTTTCTTTGCGGTTTTTTCTTATAAAATGTGTTCATTACGAAATATTTGTTGCTATGTAGGAAGTTAACCAGGGTTTCTCCTCTCTCATTTCTAACACCATAGCCGAATTCACCAATATAGTTTTCGCTTTCTTCTAGTCATTGTCCAATCTTAGCGTTGAAATCTCGTATTATAAGTGTGTAAGTGTTATGATAGTTCATGTTGGTTTCTATTATTTTCTCGTAGAACTCATCTATCTCTTCATCGGGGTGTGTTGAAGTTGGGGCGTACACTTGAATGATTTTTAGGGTGATTTTCTCGTTTATATTCATCACAATCATTGCAATTCTTTCTGATATTCCCACATATTGTTCTATTTTATTAGCATGTTTCTTAGAAACCGGAAATCCTACGCAGTTTGGACTTTGTTCTTTGTGCCCTTTGTAATTTGTGTAATTATGTCTCACTTTATGTCCTTTATTTCTTCTTCTAGCTCATAGATTTTTTCATCTCTGTTTAAGGACCTTACATTGAGTGTTGCTATATTCAAGTTTGTTGTTTGTAGCGATTTCTCGCTTCCCCCAGATTCCACGAAGCTGTCCATTTTTATAAAAGAGTGGGACTTGTCAACACTGTATGATCTACCCACCTGGGGACTTACTCCTATCGTTTTGGAATTCGCCATTATTTTGGGGAGGTTATTAGCCTTAAAACACCGCGCTGACCAGACGTGTTGATGAGTGTGTATTCAGCCGTCCATTCTGGATCAGACGCTGTTGGTAGCCATCCACTCTGGATCAGACGCTACAGTTTGTGATCTTATACTATCTCTAAAATCAAGGGTTGCCATCTCCGCCATCTTCGCCGTATCGAAAGTATTCTTCGTTGCCTTGGATGCCGTTCTGGACTTCATCCGTGACCCTGGACAAGGGACCCTTAGCAGGTGCTAGCTTCCCGGGTCAAGAAGCTCCTTTAATCTGCAAAGGGCAGGGATTGATTCACTTTCCCTGATAGGACTATCCAATAGAATCCAAGGGACTCCAAAGGAGTTCCTACCCGCTACCCCTGTTTTGCATTGCATAACCCTATATTGCATGAATTTATTTTATTTTATCTTTCGAAAAAATAAAATAAAATTATAATAAATTACCTACTCTAATAGATGTATGTAAAATTCACCGCTACACATTTTTTTAAATGATCCGTTTTTATGGAGAAAAAAAAATTGTGCCCATTTAGGAACATTATGTATAAAAACTTTTATTAGAACCAATGTCATACACATTAGATTGATGTATTATCAGTGTCAAACTATTCCAAATTGTGAAACTTCTTAAAACAGTTACTACTTTTAGAATGAAAGAATAAATGCACCTTACATTTCTCGCACTGGGCCCTTGATCTTACAGTTTATCATCTTACATCTTTCCCTGTTTACAGTCCAGTTTGGCTAGTGTGAAAACTGATCTGTTTGTACATACATACTGGGTCTAGGTTAAATGAATCTTCTTTTGGATGGTTGTTTGAATGTGGAACTTCTAGGCCGACCTACTTTTCTGTTTTGTAAAACACCACTGTTAGTTAGTTGTTCAGCTAGAATTGTTATGAAATTCAGCAACGGTTTAGTTTTTCCAATTTGTTTTTTGATTCGCCTGTGTAATGGTCAAGTATTGACGACTACTGCTACATCCAGCATATGAAAAAAAATACTGTGGCACCATTTTTTGCTTTTAATTTTGATTGGATATAATCCCAATAAAAAATCTTGCAGATCTCCACCACCCATGTACCTGTTATATTGTTGTACAATGTTTGTATAATCAATTTCTTTCCTAGTTCTTTCGGTGCGAAAGAATCTTTCCACTTTATGTATGTACTGTATGTATTGCAGTATTTTCAAAAGTATCAAAGTATTCCTGAATGCTTCCCCTTTGTAATTTTTTAATTTCTTTGTTTTGCCAATCTTTATAATTCAGATTTTGATTTGTACGGATTATTGCGATAGAATATATGCCTCGTTTTGACAATTATGACACCAGTGGTATCTTTGAAAAATAATTATCGTAAAAGAGTTTGTAGTGTTTACCCATCTTTTCCAGCCAAAGCTTCAAAATTATATGAAAATCTGAAGATTCCTGAGAGAACCCACATCTTGTATCCCCATTTATGAGGCTTTTTGGGATTGTATGTCTTCATACTCGAACGTCCTTTAAACGATATAACTTATTCGTCACAAGATAAGTGTTCTTTTAAGGTATCCGCAAACACGATCTTTTTATTTGTTCAATCAGGGTCGAGATTTTATCAAGACTTCGTGTATTTTCTAAATATTACTAAAATAAAGAAACCTTTAGATCGTTTCAAAA